GGCCCTGGGTTTTGACAACAAACAAGGTAAACAGAATAAGAAGCAAAAGGTGGGTGTGGCTGGATGACCACACTTCTGGTGACATGGGGGTGCAGCCTAATGTGCTAATGAGCTGTGCTGTCAGGGGTGTGGCCTAATATGCTAATGAGCTGTGCTGTCAGGGGTGTGGCCCAATATGCTAATGAGTTCCTGCTGTTGGGTGTGGCCTATTATGCTAATGAGTTCCTGCTGGGCTTTTTCTACAAAAAGAGCCCTGGCCCAACTTCCTGCAGATCAGCAAAGATGACCTGTTGGCTTCTTCCAGGACCCCATTCCATATGGTTGCCAGTCTCTAAGGTCCGGAGATCTCCTGAGATTACACCTGACCTCCAAGCTATAGAGTTCAGTTCCACTGGGGGAAAAGGGCTGCTTTGGAAAATGGACGCTGTGGAGTTACACCCCACTGAAGTTCCCTCCCCTCCCCGTTTTTCCCAACCTGGAGCTGGCTACCCTACCATTCCATAGGGTAAAAGGTAAAGGTTTCCCTTGCTCGAGAGCCAGTCGAATCCGACTCTAGGGTTGCGGTGCTCATCTCCATTTCAAAGCCGAAGAGCCAGCGCTGTCCGAAGACTTCTTTGTGGTCATGTGGCCGGCATGACTAAACACCAAGGCGCACGGAGCGCTGTTACCTTCCCACTGAAGCGGTCCCTATTTATCTACTTGCAATGTCTTGCTTTCCTAGTGTGGCATGAGCTGGAACTAGAGGCGGGAGCTCACTCCGTCATGTGGCGCACCGGGTCTCGAACTGCTGAACTGCGACCTTCCACAGCCTGCAGTTCAGCGTCTTAACCACTTGAGCCATGGAAGCTCCATTCCATAGGGTGGGGGCCATCAAAGAAGACGTTTACAACTGAACTGAGGCACTCTCTCATTTGCCCACACAAGGGGACTTTGAACAAAAGTTGGGGGTTGTCACCCAAGTTTATACTGGGAGAGGTGGTCTTCAAGCATTTTTGGGGGGGGTCCCAGGTGGTGAAGGGCTTAAAATGCCTTTGAAAAGAGGGTCTTCTTCTGTACAACAGACTCCCCACCCCCTTTTCTGCACATCTGTGCGATGTTACCAGATCACATTGACTTCTGTGTTGCACGCCAATGCCATTTATGTTCTTTGGCACTTCACATCCCACCCCCCCCCCCTCCAGGCTTTGAGATGCAGGCAGAGAAAGAACAAGATGATCGATAGCAAGCATTTTAGCAGCAGGGAGACAGGCAGCTACCAGATCACTCAGAGTAAATTATGGCATTCCTAGAAATGATGGCCCAGATCCAAATGCATTCCTTGGGTACTCCCCCAGGGCTTCCTATGCACTTCAGGGAAAGCTGGACGTGTTTTCTTCTGAACAGCAACTTTCCCATGCTGTATTAAGCACTCCTCTTGAACCTTAAGGAGCTGCAGTGACTCAAGTTCCCAAATGGCATGGGGGGGGGCTGTGGAAGGTCGGTAGTTCAGCAGTTTGAGACCTGGGTGTCGCATGATGGAGTGAGCTCCCATCTCTAGTTCCAGCTCCTGCCAACCTAGCAGTTCGAAAGCAAGAAATTGCAAGTAGATCAATAGGTACCGCTTTGGTGGGAAGGTCACAGCGTTCCGTGCGCCTTGGTGTTTAGTCATGCCAGCCACATGACCACGGAAACGTCTTCGGACAGCGCTGGCTCTTCGGCTTTGAAACAGAGATGAGCACCGCAACCCTAGAGTCGGATTCGACTGACTTTCGGGCAAGGGAACCTTTACCTTTTTACCTTTGAAACTTAACTTTGTGTCCAAAAGGGGGTTCCCAAATGGCATGGGGGGGGTGGACGAGGACCACTGCTGGTATGAGAAACAGGTACAACTTCCTCTTTGGATATATGAACTAGGTGAAAGGGGTTTTTTGTTTTTGAATAACCTGACGGCACCCGGTATTTTTGGCCACTGTGTGATACAGAGTGTTGGACTGGATGGGCCATTGGCCTGATCCAACATTGGCTTCTCTTGTGTTCTTGTGTTCTAAGGAGAAGGGTATTGTCCCAGCCCATTTCCCCTCCACTATTTCAAGTTATCGACATCACTGCTTTGGACTCTTATTTTCTTGGGGGGGGGGAGAGGACACCCCCCCCTTCATTGTGGGACTTTGCACTAAGGGTACGCCACAACCTTCAAAAGGTTTGGGATTAAAAAAAAACAACTTTATGAAAATCTGCCTCTCTTGGGGCATCGCGCTGAGCTTAAAATATAAGTCGTACGACAGCCTAGAGATAGGAAACTATTTCCAACGCGTCTGCTTTAAAAATAAATAAATAAACCTGCGACCACGTTTCAGTGCTTATTTTGATCTCGGGCCGACATCGCTGGCGAAAACATTTCTGTCCTGCAGGGCGCTCGGCCCTGACCCGTCTTGTTTTCAGGAAACAAAGAAACACACGAGAGGCCAAACAAACAAACAAAAATCAAATGCATTGTTGCTTTCTTCTACACAAATGTTTGCATGGGAGTTCTTGATGGGACCCCTGCACTGATGCATCCTTGCAGAGGAAACCTGCCCGTACAAACCTGCCCGTGGCAGCCACACCAAGAATCGGGCTGCTTCTCTGACCTGCGCTTCAGGGTCCACTGGCCATTTTGTGGCCTTGGGCCTTGGCGGGTTCGACTCTCAGGGCGCAACCCTGGAGGCTCAGACCTTGCAACGCCGCTGCAGCGACTTCAGCCTCCGTTTTATCCCTGTAATGGAGGAAAGCTCGGCGCTGCGCCCCCTGCCAGGTGAGCTGTGCAGGGGTGGCGCGGAACTCCCGGAGGACAGCCTTGAATTTGCTCACTCTGGTCGCCGGAGGGATGTTCCCCACAAACAGACTGGAGAGTTCGCGGAGACGGTCTGAGCTAGCGGGCCCAGACTCATCCCTAGGGCTAGCTTGGCACAGGCCAGACTCCTTCGGCAACGTGGGACTTCCGGGCCGGACGTCCCTGGATCTTCTTGCCGGTGCAGCAACAGCTGGAACATCTGTCTGTTCCTCTTGGAGGGTGACGTCTTTGCCGGCCTGTTCCTCTCTGCAACGAAGGCTCTGGAGGATCGGGATCTTCTCCATCGTTCTGTGACTGACCTGATGCATAAAAGCGGAGAGAAAATATAGATCAGGGTGGTCAGCAGTGTTCCCTCTAAGCTGAGTTAGTGTGAACCAGCTCACAGTTTTTTAGCCTCCAGCTCACAGATTTTTGTCTTCGCTCAGGCAGGAGGGCTCCTAAGCAAACTAATTTAGGCAGCGGCCCAATCGCTCGCTCACAACTTTAATGCCAGTAGCTCACAAAGTAGAGTTTGTGCTCACAAGACTCTACAGCTTAGAGGGAGCATTGGTGGTCAGCCGTCTTGGTCTGAAGCAGTAGAACAAATTTAGAGTCCAGTGGCGCCTTTAAGACCAACAAAGGTTGATTAAAGGTATGAGATTTCGTGTGCAGGCAAACGTTTTTCAAATGCGTTGGGATGGAAGGTAAGGTTCAAACTTATAGATGGGATGAGCAGCAGATTAACAGGTAACTCGATGAAGATGTTTTAAGATACTGTGACACAAGAAAAAGGAAATAACAAGCTAAGGTTATAAGGTCAACAGTTGTAAAGCAATAAATATGTCAAAATAAGTGGAGAGAACAGTGTGCTTTAAAAAAAAAATAGTGTTGTCAGCTCTGAGCTAGATGGAGTAGGCTTTTTTAAAAAAATAGCGTTGTCAGCTCTGAGCTAGATGGAGTAGGCATATGGATCTCAGCCCTGTAGCTAAGGAGTTTTTGGGGAGGGGGTTGCTGTTGTTCAGTCGCACAGTCGAGTCTGACTCTTCGCGACCCCATGGACCAGATCACGCCACGCCTTCCTGTCTTCCGCCGTCCTCTGAAGTTGGCTCAACTTCATGTTCGTTGCATCTATGACACTGTCTAACCATCTCATCCTTTGCCGTCCCCGTCTTCTTTGACCTTCAGTCTTTCCCAGCATCAGGGTCTTCTTCTCCAGTGAGTGCTCCCTTCTCATTTGGTGGCCAAAGTATTTGAGCTTCAGTTTCATTATCTGGCCTTCCAGGGAACAGTCAGGGTTGATTTCTTTTAGGATTGACTGATTTGATCTTCTTGCAGTCCAAGGGACTCTCGAGAGTCTTCTCCAGCACCATAGTTCAAAAGAATCTATTCTTCGGTGCTCGGCCTTCCTTATAGTCCAACTCTCGCAGCCATACACGACTACTGGGAATACCACTGCTTTGACCATGTGGACTTTTGTTGGCAGGGTGATGTCTCTACTTTTTATCATGCTGTTTAGGTTCGCCATCGCTTTCCTCCCAAGAAGCAGGCGTCTTTTAATTTCATGGCTGCTGTGATCTGGGATCCCAGGAACGTGAAGTCCGTCACTACTTCCACGAGTTCCCCTTCTATTTGCCAAGGAGTGATGGGGCCGGATGCCATGATCTTAGTTTTTTTGATGTTGAGCTTTAAGTTCACTTTTGCGCTTTCCTCTTTTACCCTGAGCAAGAGGCTCTTTAGGTCCTCTTCACTTTCTGCCATTAGAGTAGAGGGGGCGCCACAAGCCAATTAAATCAAAGTTAATTAAATTAATTTTGATTTAATTAGTGGAATTCCTAAAGCAGCCCCGGCTGCAACCGAGGGGGGAGGAAACTCTAAATGAGTCCCCCGGGGTCCCGGCTGATTCAGATCTGTTTTTTGGATCTTGGACCGATCTCTGTGTCTGTCTCGGGGAGTCCTTGCTGTCATGTCTCGGGCTAACCTTTCCAGGAGGGACAGAGTGCCATAAAGGCTGTGGGGGAGAGGCCAGAGGGAAAGGGCCGGAGGGGGGGGCGACCACAGTGCAGCGACACTCAGGCACCCCCAGGGCGATGTGCCCACCGCCCTCCCCCCAGGTACTTAGGGTGGAAGCGCGTGTGGCGCCCCATCACCTTTGTGTGTCGCTGGCTTTCGGGAATGCTGCCGTGCGCTACAGATCCCCCGGCCTCCTTCCTTCCATCAGGCGGAGAAGGGGCAGTTCCACGCTTCCCCTCCAGCTCCGGCGAAGGGGCTGGGGAGCGGGCAGGGGAGTAAACCTCCAGTCTGGTCCAGCAGAGCGGCCTGGCTTGCTCCGTGGATCGGATGCAATCTCTCTCTTTTTATCATCGCTTAGGCTGGGGGAGGGGGGCTCCTGCTTAGAAGGGTGTTAGGGTTGGCCATGGAGGGGCCCCGTAAAAACCACGCGGGGGGGGGGAGGCCCCCGTGGGCCCCGTGTTAGCGACGGGCCTGATTCATCCCATTCTGCAGACACTGCACTGGCTGCCCATTTGATAACGGGCTCAGTTTAAGGCATTGGCTGTTACAGACGAAGCCCTTCACGGCCTTGGTCCCTCTTATTTGCAGGACCGCCTCTCCCCCCTACGTTCTCCGCCATGACAGCTTCGCTCATCTCAGCAGGGGCTTCTACAGGTGGCCAGCCTGCGAACGGGCAAAAATCAACCACAGCCCTTCTCCGCTGTAGTTGCCACCTTACGGAATGGCCTGAAGCTCCCGCTCTCCTGGCTTTCTGCAAACTGTGCAAAATGGAATTATTCAAGAGAGCTTTTCTATGTAGGCAACAGAGCTGCGCTATACAAAAGGAGTCGCAGGGCTACTTGGACACATTATTAGGTATCCCCCTGCCTCTTCACGTCTCCTGGGAAGAAGGAACGCCTGAATGAGGAGTGGAACCACAGGATGACTCAGGAAACCCCAGGCGCTGTACTAGTCCCCCTGATCTTCCAGAACAAGACCCTTTCATTTGAATGAGGGCGGGCCTTAACAAGCCCTCCCATACCTTGGCCCTGCCCACTTTCCAAAAAGAAGAAGAAGAAGAGATTGGATTTCTACCCCGCCCTTCACTCGGAGTCTCAGAGCATCTTACAAACGCCTTTCCCTCCCCCTCCCCACAACAGACACCGGTTGTGAGGTAGGTGGGGCTGAGAGAGCTCTTTCCAGAACTGTCTTTGAGAGAACAGCTCTGACAGAACTATGGCTTGCCCACGGTCATCCAGCAGCTGCGAGTGGAGGAGTGGGGAATCAAACCCGGTTCTCCCAGATTAGAGTCCGCGCACTTAACCACTACACCAAAAGCTTGGCTGTTGCCAATGGATGTACTGGCGGATGCCATGGCGCCCATGGGAACCACGTTGGGGAACCCTGCATTACAGTGTTCTGGCTTTTCTTTTCTTTTTTGGTTGCCAAACAAAAAACTGGGTGTGATTGAGTGGGCATCCTCCCCACTAGCCACCCTGATGGGTGTGCTGGAGGGGGGCATTCGCATTTATTAATGACGCCCAACTCTTGCGTTAGGAAGCTCATAGTGGAACTGTGGCTCAGGGGCAGAGCCTCTGCTTGGCATGCAGAAGGTCCCAGGTTCAGTCCCCGGCACCTCCAGTTAAAAGGACAATGCCGTAAGCGATGTGAAAGACCTTAGCCTGAGACCCTACCAGTCTGAGTAGACAAGACTGATCTTTATGGACCAACTTTATGATTCACTATGATAAAAAGTAGAGACATCACCCTGCCAACAAAAGTCCGCATGGTCAAAGCAATGGTATTCCCAGTAGTCATGTATGGCTGCGAGAGTTGGACTATAACGAAGGCCGAGCGCCGAAGAATAGATTCTTTTGAACTATGGTGCTGGAGAAGACTCTTGAGAGTCCCTTGGACTGCAAGAAGATCAAATCAGTCAATCCTCAAAGAAATCAACCCTGACTGTTCCCTGGAAGGCCAGATAATGAAACTGAAGCTCAAATACTTTGGCCACCCAATGAGAAGGGAGCACTCACTGGAGAAGACCCTGATGCTGGGAAAGATTGAAGGTCAAAGAAGACGGGGACGGCAAAGGATGAGAGGGTTAGACAACGAACATGAAATTGAGCCAACTTCAGAGGACGGCGGAAGACAGGAGGGCCTGGCGGGATCTGGTCCATGGGGTTGCAAAGAGTCGGACTCGACTGTGCGACTGAACAACAACATGAGGCTGTTTCATGTGTTCATATTGGGGAGAATCCATGGTTCAGTTAAAGAGTGTCTGCTTGGCATGCAGAAGGTCCCAGGTT